TTGTCAAACGCAAACAGACTCCGAGTCAACATGAAGCCGGACTGAGTCAATGAAGCACTCCTGAAGTGGAAGCTGTATCTGTTTGCTGTTGAGGTCAAATGGACTCATGTTTCCACTTTAATCAAGGACATCAGGAATGACTGTCAGAGGTGGCTGTCTCTCTGCTAGCAGATTATTTGGTTTAATAACAAGAAGCTCTGCTTTATTCAAGGCAACATTATGGTTGAAGCAATATTATTCTGCTGTGGTTGAGCAACTGGTCTGCAACACACAAAGCATGTCATCTCATTATTAAGGTGGTGGGTTAGGAAGGAGATGATGTCATCATTTAAAAAAGGCAAGAAGCTGTTCTCACATATCATTAAGTCATGTTTAACCAAATATTACCGAAGCAATTATGTCATTAGGCTAATAATATGTTTCATTAAAAACATTCATTCACTGTCTTTTACTAGCTTTATTTTCAGCAGAGCTGGTGAGTCTTTCAGCAGTCACTCTGCAAGAGGCAGCGGACACACTGGACATGTCTCCAGCCCACATGGGGACAATTCAGATTTATCACCTAACCTAACATGCATGTTTACAGGAGAAAACCTACATGTGTATATGGAGAAGCTCTATTCTGCTCTAACCACTGCACTGACACATACCAGTCATCACTAGGAAGCACATAAACAAATTAGACCCAATGTCAAATTGTTTATGTAGCCAGTTACCAACAAGTCCTACTAAACAAACAGGTCCAATTAAAACTAATTATAGAAAGTAATTCAATAAATTTTAAGTGCCATTTAGACCAACGGATTTAATCAAACCTTTACTTTGACACAATAATGAAGCAGTGGGCGACAGTGGGAAGGAATGAGCCTGTTTGAACAGTCTGGACCAGCTGAGGGTTCAGTACCTTCATAATCAGGGCTGACTTATGTAAACAAATACTTTGTAAACTCTGACTTGATTCAGAGGAAATTCAACCACATCAGGGTCTGCAGAAGCTGGCTTTCAATGAAAGCTTAGGAGCTCATGGTATCATCTGATATTTGACAAGCAAATAGGCCAAACCCCAACCTGCTCCTTGTCCCGGGGCGTGGTTTGTTTCTGAGAGCTGCTTCACAGGAAAGGACTCGTCTCATTTTCTGCCCCACAACAAAAATCCCTCCTTTTATGTGGCTACTGCTGCATTTTATCTCTGCATCACACTTCATCTTACACAGTTTCATATTTAATTTGTAAATCTAAAATACCAAACACCAAAATTTCTTCTTGCAATCGTATTTAATGTAAATTATTATTTTTAAAAAGACAGAAAAAGCTCAAACATTTATTCAGCAGGTGTTTTCACATTGCCAGAGTTCATGTAAGCCAGTTCTCTTATTTTGTACACAGTTTATTTTTACTGATTCTCTAATCTCTTGAATCTAAATGTGTTTTTAAATTGGACTGAACTGGGTTGTAATTTGATATGATGTGAACTCACTGGTTTAGTATGGTGCCCCAGCTTATGTTTTGTTGTGAACTGGCACTTTATTAAATAAACTGAAGTGAAGTGAAAGAGTGACTCCTGCTGGATGCATTAAAGAGAAATCTAAAGGAAGAATAAAGACTAAAAAACATTTAATCAGTGGTGTTCTTCTTTTTATTGTTGCTTAAAGAGCTACTCTTTTCTATAAATCTCTATGTTGTCTCCATTAAAATACTTAATCTCTTCAGATCTCCATTAAATTAAGTTTTTCTTCACTTTATTTCAAACTATCTTAAGTATATAATTATGATCAACATGTATTTTAAGAGAAGTGTGGAAGAAATGATAAAAAATATAATATGGTGCTATTTTGTCTAAATAGTTGATTTTATACTGCTCCATTATATTTTATCTGCTTATGTTTAGGTAGCAAGCTGACAAAAATGAAATTTTTCCAGGATTCTTCTGTTCAAGTACAAAAAAGAGCTCCAAAAGGGGACAAACCAGGACACTAACAGGTTGTTGCTTTAAAACAAAACTTTTTTTGAATACCTGATCCTTTAAACTTCAGTAAAACAAGTCCACATCCATCAAAGTACTGAACAAATACTGCACTAAAACTAGAAGAGATGCTGGGTTTGTGAGGCACATGATGATAAACATGATGACTCCTGTTAACTGCTGGATCACAGCCTGTAATACCAGCACCAACATTAAATTAAATTCCATAAAACTGAGTCATTCCTGCTCCTCTCCCACACGGAGAATGTGAGTTATCATCAGCTGAGGTTAATGTTTCTGCTCGTCTTCACCCAGGTTACTGTGGTGCAAATTGTTTTTGTTTAGGCTGAATGAAGTCGAAGAGGCTGAACGGTGTGAGAAAGGAAATTTTATGTTTTTACTTTTATTTGTGGAGCAAAAATAAGGGTTGGTTTCATTAGTTAACTTCTTCTTGAGGTTTTAAATATTTAAGCTGAGTCACATCATGATGAAGATGTGGGACAGAGGTGTGGAAACTAGAGGTGACTATAGTTTGTGTGAGCAGCAGGAGGGTTTCATGTCAGGAAGGGAAACCACAGACGTCATCTTTGAATTTAATGCTTTGAAGTATGTGAGACTGGTCAAGGACATGCATGAGGACATCAGGACATGCATGAGGACAGCAGGACATGCATGAGGACAGCAGGACATGCATGAGGACAGCAGGACATGTATGAGGACAGCAAGACATGCATGAGGACAGCAGGACATGCATGAGGACAGCAGGACATGTATGAGGACAGCAGGACACGAGGACAGCAGAACATGCATGAGGACAGCAGGACATGCAGAAGGACAGCAGGACATTCATGAGGACAGCAGGACACGAGGACAGCAGAACATGCATGAGGACAGCAGGACATGCATGAGGACAGCAGGACATGCATGAGGACAGCAGGAAGCGAGGACAGTAGAACATGTATGAGGACAGCAGGACATGCATGAGGACAGCAGGACATGCATGAGGACAGCAGGACATGCATGAGGACAGCAGGACATTCATGAGGACAGCAGGAAGCGAGGACAGCAGGACATGTATGAGGACAGCAAGACATGCATGAGGACAGCAGGACATGTATGAGGACAGCAAGACATGCATGAGGACAGCAGGACATGCATGAGGACAGCAGGAAGCGAGGACAGCAGGACATGTATGAGGACAGCAGGACATGTATGAGGACAGCAGGAAGCGAGGACAGCAGGACATGTATGAGGACAGCAAGACATGCATGAGGACAGCAGGACATGTATGAGGACAGCAAGACAT